ATCCGCATATGACACCATATCATAAGGGTAGGTGTATGTAAAATAAAAGGTCATTAATATATATGATGAATTAGAGTGGTACCAAGACAGATCCCTGTGGCACACCATGTGGATTTTCCTGTATGTCTAATTTGCTGCTCTTTGAAGATACATATTGTTTTCTACCGGTCAAAAATGAACGAATAAAAGAAAGTGCAGGACCTCTTATCCCATGAAATTCCAGTTTTTCGAGGAGGAGGTCATGAGAGACACAATCGAAAGCTTTCATGAGGTCACACTAAATTAAAACAGTATGAAATTCATTTGATCTTGCAATCATGTCTAACAGTTATAATTTGTGACGAGTAAATAGATATTTGATCCATTATTATTATAATATGAAACTATTGAGCTATAGGTGTTAATTTCAAAAATGATTCTGAATGTATTATCAGTGTATTCCATGTACAGAAGGAAAATTATCCAAGAAGTCCTTCGAACCTGGTGCAACCGCATATGGAATCCCATTCTAAGAAGTTCAAGAATAAAAAACAACATGACAACAGGTAGAAAAGGGTCGACGAATGTTATTGACAATGACAATGACAATGGTCGGTCGGTAGCCAAGCGGTTCGGCGTGGGTGATTTGTTCACTCACTCGAATTGACTGCCGTGTTGGTCGGTGGTTCAAGCCCTAGTCTGAACGATCGATCTTCACTTGCTATCGTCCAACCCGTGTTAGGAATCACACGTTAAAAGGTAAGACCTCGTTAATCCTTAGCCCGCACAAGATTCGACTTCTGAGGGTTGTCGTTCGTAGGGGTGCGACAACTGGTTAACGGAAAAACATATTTTTTAAACAGATATACCTGATTCAGGTACAGTTATTATCAACCAGACTATCTGAATCAACATAAACACGCTTTATGCAATTTACCTAATCCAGGTACAGATATCAGGACACCCAATCACCTAAGTCAACATAAATACGCTTTACGAGGCCGTATTATCCAGTCATCGGATATGAACTCAGAATGTATAAACCTCTTGAGAAACTAGCCACTTGCGCCAGCTAAACGTCAGGAACAAATTTCAAAAAGCGACGGCTTTCAAACCCGAAAAATAGTGAAAGTTTGTCGAACGTTTGTTCAGCACTTATCTGATATCCCAAATAATTATACATCAAACAGCAATCATCTACAACCCTCAGCAAATTGAAGTTGCAGAAAGAATTAACAAAAGCATTCAGGGACTCTTTACTTTTATCTAATATGATTCAACGATTCGAAATCTATGAAAAAACGAATAAAATATCAGAATGAATAGCTAGAATATCAATTATATTGAGAAATAAAACGTGAAATGAAAATACAATAAACCGAATAAAATAATCAAGATACGGAATGCAAATCACTACAGAGTAGAAAGAAATAAAACAGAATGAAAATTAGCCGGTTTAGCAGAAGTTGATTGCTTCTCAGAAGTTGACTTTTCCGCTTGATTACAGGTTTCCATTTGTTGCCTATCTCTACGCTAGCTTGGCTGAATGTATCGTTGGACAACATGCATGCAGCTTCTTTGAACTTCCTCTCAAATCAGTGTTCCTTCCTGTGAATGATTTCAGCTTGGGACCACTTGATGTTATGTTGAGGAGCCCAAACATGCTCTGCTATTCCCGATTTGCTGTTTTTTTCTCGCTGTATGTTTTTTTGTGCTCGGTAATGTGGACTCACAATGGCCTCTTAGTATATTACTCGGTAAATTGAAAGATGGTGAAAAATGCGTCATGTCCCTATACCTAAATCGTCAANCGTATGTAGTTGTAACATATGCCTTGTAATCCAAAGATCGTGTGTTCAAATCCCATGGACCCTATAATTTTTTTTATTATCAGTAGTAACGTTGTACAAAAAAATTTGTATGATACATTTGTTAAAAGTGATTTTATTTTGCTCGTGAGTTTGCTCCACTTGCTGACCCTCGTTTTGCAATAATCCCCACTCACAAAATAAAATGTCACTTTCAACACGTGAATAACTATTTTTCCACAAAAACGGCTATAGTGAGAAAACTTGACGATTTAGGTATAGAGACATGTATTTCATCTTGAAGCATTTTTCACTATCTTTCAATTTATCGAGTAATTTACAGGGGGTTTCATTTGAAAAATAAACTTTCGACTACTTTTATGCACAATGGAAATAATAGTAATTTTAGCACGCCCTGTATGATATGGAGTCGATTTCTTGGTGTTATTTGAATATTTTGAGTTTGTCCAAACTATCATCAAAATATCAACTCTTCATGAATTGAGAGTACTGATGTACTTAATTTCAATTAAGGCTATGTTTTGGACCATATTTAGCACAATTTATTTTTTATCTCGAAAACAGATAGAGATAGGTATAGGACATTATCAACAAAAAAGTATTAAAATACTAAAGCAATTCCAAAAATGTATTAATATACGCGGTTTTCCATTTAAAACAATATAATTGCTAGGACTTTTTGATAGAAGTAGCAACGCCGCAATGCTGAAAATATTTTAGTTCGATAGAACAGGTAAGGAAATGTGAGAGGTGAAATTTTCTGAAAAATGATGCTTTGCGTTTTCTAGAAACGTCTAACTTACCATCGACCTTGAGTCACGCTGTATAAACACTCTCTTAGTCTTGCCATAATGTTACATTGTATGAGAAACAGATCCGGCATTTAAAAAATTTCTGATTTGAAGAAATCTCTCTTTTCCCAAGTTAGAATATATATTACCATACATTGCTTTCGCTAGGTATCACACAGTCATCATCCGAAGACGATTGTGGATACTAACAATCGAAACGTCGTGGAGTAACTTGATTTGAGATCTTTTTCGATTTTTAATTTTTATATAATTGCATTTTCATTATTTTATTTTTCTACTCTATTATCATTTTCATTTTATATCTTGAATAATTTTGTTCGTTTTACTGTACTTCCATTTCATATTCAATTGCTTAATATAATTAATATTTTGACTATTCTATTTTTTTTTATTTGTTCTATATTGTTGAAGTACTTGTGCATCTTCTTGAAGAAATGAATAGGTTTCAAACTTTCCCATATCCATTACATGTCATCAAAAATCCGTTGAGCTTTCCCACAAGCGTATCCCAATTCGGAGTAATGAGACTAAAGTTTCCTTAAACTGTAGACTAATCACGAAATTTGTGACAGGAGAATCAACTGTAAGCGTACCAGCTCTATATCTAAAAATAGGAAGTCTTTCGAGTCACATTATTCAATTCATGAAAATCAGTTAGGTACATGTGCGTGCTTAGGAGTACGCGTACGATTACCCCGTTTATTAATCCCTCCATATAGTAAGATGGAAGAAACCACAAAGTTTTTCCTCAATTCCTTCAAAAAAAAACAACAGCAGCATCAATTTACGAACAAGTGATTATTTCAATAATGTCAAGTGAACCCAAAAGTGAACAGTGTTTTAGTAGATAGTGCGATGTGAGTATCACTTTCCGCGTTTGCTTTGGATTTGTTGACGATCAGTTAGTGATTGGAAATATTCTGAGACCACTCCTTTGTATTGAGAAAGCATCAGTGTTGCGGAAAAATTATTTTAGGTAAGTATCTCATACACAATATGATATGCATATCTATTCCAGTGTTAAACAATGATTACTGCTATTAATAAGTTCGTAAATTAGGTGGCGTACAGGGACTCCGAATATACGAATGAGAGATGCGTATTTGTTTCATCATTGACAATAATTATAGAATTGGCTGTAAGAGTGACTTTTGCACTATCATCAATTGTAATGAAGTAACATTAGGTCGGTCGGTAGCCGGTCGGTTCGACGTGGGTGCTTTGTTCACTCACTCAAATCGACCGCCGTGTTGGACGGTGGTTCAAGCCCCTGGTTGAACGATCGATTTTCACTTGCTATCGTCCAACCTGTGTTAGGAATCACACGTTAAAAGGTAAGAGCTCGTTACTCCATAGCTCGCACAAGTTTCGACTTCTGAGAGTTATCGTTCATAGGGATGCGACAGCGGGTTTACATAAAAACAGATTTTATACATTTTCAATTTGTTGATGGAGTTCGAAACCAATATTTCAAATATGCAATGCTCGTTTCATCACAATCTACAAAAAAGATTTATTTTCCGGGAATATAAAACTTACATTTGATGAATTGAGACTTTGATAAATCAGATTTTCATTACCGAAACGTAACAAATATTCAATGGACACATTTTTTTTGTTTTCGATTTATCCATTGTCATCAATGACATATGACGAACTATTAATAATGGCAAACTTGTTCCTTTTCCAGTACTGATGTGATGAAATAGAGGTAATATTTTAGGCAGTGAAAACAAGTATGAATAAACATCATTCTGTTGTAACCAAATTCTATGATTCGATGTATCATAATTTACGTATTCTAAAAACACTTCATTCTGAGATTTTCACTTAACAATTTTACAAAAACGCAACACGTGTTTCGCCATACAGTGGCTTCTTCGGGCGTGTCTTCAGTAGCAAATTCTACGCATTCATTGCTATATATACCTTATTCTACAATTTGAAGTACCTACATGTTGTACCTGGTTTTTACCTAAGTTTATAATGAATTTAATTACCTGAGCTTATGTCCCATATTCAGTAATGGAGGTTTATTCAATTCTAATTGATCATTCAGTAAATTACCCGAATTCCTGAATCTATTGATTTCTAAATATTCTAGAAGATTGAATTTCAAACTTTTCTCTTCTGAATGTAATACATACATCCTATTCATGATTGAACTCATGTCCTTCTGCTGAAAGGTGGTTTGCAAATGTGGAATTGGTCTTTCCATTTATCAACCTACTTCTATTCTCTTTAATTTTTTGGGAAAATTCTCTCCCTGTTTGGCCACTATACAGTTTTGGACAAGAGCCACAAGTCAGCTCATATACTCGTGATCATATATCATAATCATAATCATAATTATCTGTATTAGAAAACAATACCCAGTTCACCATCATTTCACTGAGAAAGTAAGGCCTACTACTAGTATACAGTAAAATTCAAATGAAATATATCTTCATCAGGAACGACAATATGTCTAATTCAATCCGAATTTACATTGGAGAATTCCATGCAATCGTCATAGGACAATTATTGTACCAACTTCATTTCATACGGATAAAATGTATGCTCAAGATATCTCGATACTTTTTGTGACTTATCGATATGAGAAACTTCACGCTGACACATAAAATGTAATTATTCATTTTCATTTAATGCAAGTTGACGTCCAATCCTAGGTTCACTACCTTTTACACTTTGGTTTGTAATATTGGAGGGAGATTTGGAAAGAGTTTCGATAAATATAATATGAACTTCTTCATATATCTGATTGTTGTTTCCAAATCCAATCATTAATATAATTTTGATGCCTAGCTTTCAGTAGATCTGATTTTTTAGTTTTGTTCAGAATCATGAAAAAAAACAGGCCAAATACACTAAATTGTGTTTGGCGTGAGTACTAAGTATTTTGCAATTGTTTCTACGACATTACTAAGGCAGTTTTAAAACACGCAGTCGAATATTAGCACTCTCATTTGAAAACATTTTCGTGCTGATTTCAACATTTTTTGTTGTATGAAAAATATTTGAATCTACTAAGAACAGTTTGATTGGTAAATTATTGGAGTAAGTGTTGTCACCCATTGAGGGTGGAGAAATGAAGATTTGAAAATTGCATGCGCAAATAACGATTCATTGACAAAAATCAACATGCCCGAGCATTTTTATGAAATGTGGTTGTTAATGAATTTATAGAATATAGGTACGCGTTACTTTTGGAAAACCCTATATAGTTCAATTCAATACATTCAAAGAGTATCCTTCTAAATAAACAAGAGATAATCAAATGATAAAGCAGTCGGGTTTAGAGACAATCGCATACACGTGTTTTGGACTTGTTGGCCCTCGCCTTGAACTGAGAATATGGAATAGCGAGGCTATATTATGTTCATGATAATGAGTTACACGATTTTGATTCTGATTTCAATCTTGTGTATAGTTTTTGTGAGTAACTGAAGTTGCAGGTATGTTGAAAAATGGAAAATGTCGAAATAGTATAGAATAGAAAAGATTTTTATTGGTGACTATAGTAAAGTAAAGTACTACAAATTGAAAACAAAATTTCTATCGCATGTATGGAAAATATGGTAAAAAATATTTATCATCTTCATTAGTTTCCTCGAAACTTTTATATAAGGACTAAAGGTGTAGTCAATGGTGTGATGTAAGGTGAGAATTTCATATTTTGAAACATTATTTGAAAACTTCTCTTGGGAAAATATACATATTGAATTCATTATCCATTTAGAATATTGGTTCAGCCTATTAAAAATTATAAATATAAAGTTTTCATTTTCTACCAAAGTTATCCACTCCCAATAGAAATATTCAGTTCGTATACTGCAAAACAGTTACCGTTATTCATATTGAGTTATTCGGATCTACAAAAAAAACTGGTTACATTTTTTTCGTGACCATGCTTCATCAGAGCTCAGTTCAATTCAACGATATATTTATCATGCAGTCAGACATACAGTCAGTGATTTCATTCAGATATTGGCAGTTGTGTATGTGTTCTGTTAGGAAAAACGTAAGCTAGTGAAAACAAAATTGATAATAGTAATCACCTTCATAAGTCTTCGTTTTCCATTTGTTGTTTTTTTACTCAGGCGTCATCACTAAAACTATTCGGATTCTATCCAGAAAAGAGCTATCCGCCTGATTGGAGACGCGAACATCACTTGCAACTTTGATAGTCTGGAACATCGAAGGAAAGTATTTGGAGAACGGCGTTTATGAGGAATAAACTTCCTGAGAACGTTTTTCCAAATCGATTTAATTCCAATATGAGAGACTACTTTCGCATAGGTACCGCTCTAAGAGCGCCTTAAGGATTTTCCTGTAGTGCTTGTGTGTTGTCCTAAAAAAATATTTTTTTTTAATTTTTGTAATTTACTCTTTGAATGTATTGTTTGGGAGATGAAGAATTTGAACCAATAAATAAGAGTTCTGAGAAAAGTTCTAGAAAAGATTTGTGTAAATGTGGTTGACGACTTGTTGAATGATAGAGGTATGCACGTCCGTTGTTTGAGTAGAAAGGTTACAAGATCCCAAATCTATGAATATGTGAATTATTAAAATTTAATGAAATCATGAACTCAATAAAATCTTTAGTAACTCAATTGAAAATTATATTTGATGTTTTCCATTTCACATATTTATTATTTCAATAATGTCCAACAGGACCTCAACTTTCCAGATGAACTTCGACTTTTTCTTTTTTTTTCATAATTTCTAGTAGGTATGTTGAATTTTCTGATAACAACACCATCTTGTTAAACTGAAACTTTCTCTATAGACGCTATTTCTGACTTAAACAAAATTTTTCTCAAATATATGGGAGTTTGAACCAATCATTTGAATTAGTAATTGAAATTTACAATTTCAATCAAAACTAAATCGGATACTAAGGACATTATTTTTACAAGAACATACAAAGATGAAACAGTCACTTGAATGGATAGGAAAGAATGCGTGGAAAATTTCTAGGTTTCATAAATTTAGAATCTGCGATATTTTAAGAAAAAAACGGTGATCATGAAAATGAAAAAGAAATGAAAAATAAACTTGATTTCAACTAAGAGCTACCGGTAGAAAGCTGTTTAGGCATTTGGGCATCATCAATATCGAATATGCAAAGGCAAGCAACACACAAGTGGAACCACTTGCGTTATCGAAAATTTAGTAAATTATCATGGAATGCCATCGAAAAAAAAATTATCATGTTTCCAGATGTGATATAATATCAAGAAAGATTCATGTAGTCGAGCTGCTACAAAATAATCAAATGGAAATTTAAAAAAAAAGGTTTTTCACAGTTTGTCTTCAATCGAGAACCGCCTGCCCAATACTGATGATGCCCAACAAGTTGAAACAGCTGTGTACCGGTGGCTCTCAAATTGAAGTCAAATTGTGAATGATCGGAATAATACTTATTCATTCATCTTAACGAACTTCAATTTAAATTAATATAATTTCACCTATTACCCCTAACCTCCATCGGAGTTGTTTTACACTACATCACCGAAAAACAATAATACAGGCATGCTAGAAACGATTTCTCTCCTAAAAGAATGATTTCCATTTCCATTATCACAGAAAACATCCATCCATATTTAAACTAGACATGATATTTAATGATAGCCACCACCAAAAACATGTTCATAGAAGAGAAAAACACCATGATTCTCGAATTTCAGGTATGTTCCAATATTGACCTCTATTTCGAAAACGATGAATGTCACCAAAAAAATTGTTCAGATTATGAATATAATATAGAAAAAAAAATTGAGAATGCTCCTGGTCAGGAGCGAAACGTCTTTTAATCCAATTTTTGCTTGATGTATTCATTAAAGAATCGAATACCAAATATGTAAGTGAAATATTGATTGAACCAATTGAATTGAAGAATTTATTGTGTTGAATATGCATTGAATCTCTGGTATTTAAACACATTATTTTGCCAACTTCTTCCGACGCGACAAA